GGAAGACGAGGGACTTGATGTGCAAATGGCACCCTCGAGCGACAACTGTCGGCATCGCACGGAATTGTGACAAAAATTGGATCGAAGCTCATCTTGCCGAGACAGGGTATGCAGGGCAGAGAAAGGGAGGGAGGGGTGGAACACGTGGCACCCAGAGCGGGGTTCAAAGGCGCGGCCTCGAAAATCTGCAATGGCCCTGGAGCCGGACTCGCGCTGGGCAAACATGTCTTCAGAAGCACTGCGCAAAAAGGTCGTCATAAACAGTGGACACGGATATGTGGTGCAAGCTATCGCGTCTCCGTTAAACCCCTCGTGAAAAGGGGGCGCCAGGCAGAAATTCCCCGCGAGCTTCCCGGAAGCATGCGATATCGAATGGGCCGGCACACCCTATCAGCAGCAACCAGCAATCAACTTGAGGGTAGCATCCGCGCGGCGGCGGGCGGTGAAAACAGGGCGCAGCACGACTGTGAAGCAGAACAGCGAGGCGCCCCGCAATCGCGAAGCAGAAGAAGGAAGCGCTCCACGACTACGAAGTAGAATAACGAATCAAGCAGAGAACGAGGCAGGGAGGAAAAGCCCGCCCCAGGGGGGTAGGGGAGGGGAATCAAACCTCGAAGCTCTATTCAGCACGCGCAATGACGAAGCGCACTGGAAGCGCACTCGTTTGAATCAGCGCCAAGGGGGGGGGGGCCTCCTCCTCCTCCTCCTCCTCCTCCTCCTCCTCCTCCTCGTTGCATCCTCGGCCGCCCTTCGCAAGGACATCGGCAGGCGCATGAGGCAGCGCGGAGTCTCAGGCCACGGGGCCCACCACATGGTCGACCTCGGGGTCGACGTCGTCACGGGCAACAGGAGGTCCCAGCGCAGGGCCCATACCAGGCACAGGCGCGCGGCCCTCCGTGCCAAGCGGGTCCGGCGCCTTCGTCGCGCGGCGGCGCGGCTTGGCAAGCTCGGCGCCAGTCTCCATACCACTGGTGCGCAGCCGCAGGCGGTGTTCGGACACGAGGTCTGGGGCATCGCGCCCTCCAGGCTTACCCAGCTCAGGCGCTCCGCAGCGGCGGCGGCTGCGGGGGCGGGCCCTGGGCGATGCCTCGACACAGCCATGGCCCTGCTCTACGGTGACAAGGGCCCCGTCATCAAGCTGCGCACCCAGCTCGTGCACGAGTGGCTCACGCAGTGGCTCGTCAGGCCAGAGTTGCACAAGCGCGTCCTGCGCATCTGGCCCCACGTGCACCACAGGCTCCGCAGAGCCAGGACGGGGAGATGGCGCAAAGTCCATGGGCCTGTTGCGGCGGTCATCGCCACGCTCATGGACGCAGGCTGGCGGCCCTCGTCACCCCGCTCCTGGTCGCGCCCCACTGCGCAGGGCGACGAGGAGTGGAAAATCCCTCTCGCTGACCACCGCGGCCAGCTCCAGGTGGACTTCCACGAGTTCTCGGAGCTGCTGGACGACCTCGCTGTGGACCTCGACTGCCTCCGCTGGCAGCGGGCCAGCCAGCGCGCCCACGGCGCGGGCCTGGGCCAGGCTGGCGACGTCTCCCAGGTCAAGCGTGAGCTCGACCACTGCGCCAAGCACGGCCACCGGCAGGAGTGGGCCCTCAACTACCTCGTCGCGGTTGGGGGGCAATGGCCACGGCAGTGGCAGATTGCCGCAGGATACCAGGGCGACGCAGTCTGCCAGCGATGCTTCGGCGAGGAGGAGACGCTCGAGCACCGCATTTGGCGCTGTCCCTGTAACCAGGGGAAGCCCGCCTACGACCAGACGGCCCACCTCATCCCCCAGGCGCTCAGCGGCATCGAGGAGTGCCCCGCCCTCTGGCTCAGGGGCGTCAACCCTGCCAGCCACAACACTCCGCCGGCGCCGACCTGCGACGACGAGCTCCTCGTCCACGTTGGGGCCCCATGGCCCACAGGCGGCAGCCAGCCCATCACGATATTCGGCGACGCCTCGGGGGGAAAGCACGGCACGGACGAGCGAAGGCGTCGCGTTGGCGTCGGACTCGCGGTCATCGAGGTTTGCGGCCCGCGTTGGCGGTTGTCAGCCGGCGCGATCGCGACTCTCCCTGGGCGGCGGCAGACGGTCCCGCGCGGGGAGATTTTCGCCTTCGTCCTCGCCCTCGAGCAGCTGGATGCCGACATCCACTACGTCACCGACAACATGCCGCTCCTCAACGGGTGGAACGCCCAGCGCTGGCTCAACCTCGGCAAGGGCGCCAACAGCGACCTCTGGGCCCGCGTCGGCAGGTCGCTCCAGGCCCACCCGAACCGCCAGGTGGGCGTCACCTGGACGCCGTCCCACCAGGAGGATGAAGGGGGACCGATGGTCTCCCATTGCCTCGCAGCGGGCAACTGCTGCGCCGACAGGCTCGCCAACCTCGGTGCCGGGGCGGCTGCGGCCTCAGCCAACCGCAGCACGCCTCACGCGGACCGCTGGGACGTCATCGCCTCGCAGGTCAGGCGGCGGGCCCGCCAAGCCCTGCTCGACGCGGCGGGCGGCGACCCATGGCTATCGGAGAGGCCCGCGGCGGAGGAGGTGGCCCGCCCCTCTGCCCTCCAACGGGCCATCGACGACTCGCCGCGCCAGCTCGTCACCGTGGGCCAGGGCAAGTGGAAGTGCCTGCTTTGCCGGCAGCTCTTCCCCGCGGCTGCGCTTCATGAGGCGGCTGCTTCCGCCTGCGCCGCCACGGAAGCGGACTGGGCCTCGTTCGACCACGTCCGCAAAGTCTCTGCCGGCATGCAGATCGCCATGGGGGCGGGCGTGGTTCACGCCTCCCACCGCCTCTACGAGTGGCCAGCCAACAGCCTGTACTTCTGCGGCGTCTGCGGGACTCACGGCACCACGATGGGCATGGGGCTGCGAGGCGAGTGCAAGGGCGAGACCACCCGCAAGACGGACGAGGCCCTCAGGAGGATCGCCAAGGGCGTCTACCCGTCGCACCAGGGGCCGCCCAAGCCCGTCATCGAGGCCAAGGCGATTTCCGCCACGATCGCCCACGTGGTCGGCGGCGGACTGGCCCCCGCGGACCCCGCGATCCCCGAGGACCTCCCCGAGGCCGGCGCCAAGGAGCACCTGCTCGAGGCGGTCATCGGCATCCTCCATGGCCAGGCGCTCCAGGCGGCCCAGCGCCCCTCCCGCAAGCAGGCTCGGGAGCCAGACGGGCCCCAGCCGACTGCTCGGCGGAGGCGGCGCGCGTCCTCGGACCCCGGGGCGGGGCAAGGGGAGAACGCCACCGCGGCGGCCACGGTGGCCACCCCGCGCGCCCCCAGCGGGCGGTCCGGGCGGGCCCGGCAGGCCCAGGAGCTCCCGGCGGCGGCGCCAGCGCCACTGGTGGGCCAGAGGCGCCGCCGCAGCCAGACTGAGGTTACCGTGCAGGCGACAGGCGGTCCCCTCGGTCGTCGCCTCTGGCTGCCCGACCACACGTCCCCGCTCTCGGGTGCGGTCACGGCGTACTGCGCGGCGACGCCCGAGGCCGGTGGCCCAGCAGGCCCAGAGCGGGAACCCGAAGTGGTCAAGTTCCCGGCGCCTCGCGGGCCCGCCGCCGGGCCCGCCCGCGGGCAGTCGGCGCCGGCTGCGCAGCGGCTCGACGCGGCTCGACGCCCGCCGGCGCGCCAACGCGGCGCCTCTCGGCCCCCCGCCGAGCCGGCCGCGGGCGCGCCCGAGGCCGCCGGCCCGGCAGGCCCAAAGGGGAGGTATTTAGAGTATCCTAAGTACCTCCACCACTGCCGCCGCGCCGGGCCCGCCGGAGCCGCTGGCCGCGCTGCTGCTGGGGGCGCCGCCGGAGTCGGCCCGGAGGGCTCGCCTGCCTCCCTCGCGGGGGCCGCCTGCGGCGCGGCTGCTGGGGTCGCTGGAGACGGCCCTGCTGGGGGCGCCGCCCGGTGGGATGACGGCCCGGGGCTCCATCTTCCCACCTCCCCGGGGGCCGCTGGCCGCGCTGCCGCTGGGGGCAGCGCTGCCGCTGGGGCTGACTCTCGGGCCCCGCCCGAGTCGCCGGGGGCTGTTGCGCGCCGAGTTTCGAGGGAGCCGCCGAGGGCTCCGGCGCCGCCACCGCCGTCGACGACACCGCCCCGGCTGCGCAGCGGCTCGACGCCCGCCGGCGCGCCTACGCGGCCCTCCCCGTTGGCGCGGGTCTGGGCCCCCCGCCGAGCCTGCCGCGGGCGCGCCCGAGGCCGCCGGCCCGGCAGGCCCAGTGCGGGAACCCGAAATGGTCAAGTCCCCGGCGGCTCGCAGGCCCGCCGCCGGGCCCGTGGCACAGCGGGTGGAAGGCCCCATGGCCTCGGTGGCAGGCGAGCGCACCTTAGCCCCTACCTCCTAAGCGCGGTGAGAGCTGGCGGTGGCGAGGAGAGGGCGGACACGCCTCTGGCGTCGCCGGAGCGGGCGCGCGCGGCGCGCGGCCCGTCTGCACCTGGCGGTGTATAGGTTAACCGCCCGTCCCTCGACTTCTGGCGCCCTGGACCTCGTGAGCCTGCTCATGGGGGCCAGGGGCGTCGTGGAAGCTGCGCCCACCCACCCACTCCTCCTCCTCCTCCTCCTCCTCCTCCTCCTCCTCCTCCTCCTCCTCCTCCTCCTCCTCCTCCCTCCTCCCTCCTCTCCTCCTCTCCCTCCTCCTCCTCCTCCTCCTCCTCCTCCTCCTCTCCTCCTCCTCCTCCTCCTCCGCCTCGCTCCTCCTCCTCCTCTCCTCCTCCTCCTCCTCCTCCTCCTCCTCCGTGTGTGTGTGTGTGTGTGAGTGAGTGAGTGAGTGAGTGAGTGAGTGAGTGAGTGAGTGAGATTGGGGCGAGCCTTCTTTAGAGTGCTCGGAAGTCCCCTGGCCTTCTGAGAAGTTTTCTTGAACCTTCCCCGGAGGCACAGGACGCTTCTCAGGAGCCCCGCCGCCTTCTGGGAGGGCCTTCTCCTTCTCACTTCCCCCCCTCGCTCGCCGCCGCGAGGGGGGGGGGGGGGCGAAGCGGCGACGACGGCGGTGACGACGGCGTCGGCGACCCGCTGGCAGCGGCGCCGCCCCGCAGAGGCGCCTCCTCGCGCGCCTCGGGGCTGCGGCAAGCCGTCGCGGAGGCGCGGGAGGCCATGGGCCGGGCCCGCGCGGACGAGGCGTTGCGAGAGGCGCGCGGTGCGGCGTGCTCGGGCGCGACGTTCTTCGGATTGACGGTTTTGAATCGAGGTTTTCGGGCCGAGGATCGAGGGCTTTCGGTTCTCCGCCGCCGTTGCGCCGATCGAAGTTTTCGGATCGAGCGCTCAGGGCCTCGGATGGAGACTCCAAGTCCGAGGATCGAGGTTCAAGGTTTTCGGAAGGGCCCCCGAGGGCCTCGGGAGCCTCAGTGCGGAGGCCTCAGGAGATGTTCGGCCGCCGTCATGGTCGCCGCCGCCGCCGTCGCCGTCGCCGTCGCCGTCTTCGTCGCCGTCTTCGTCGCCGTCTTCGTCGTCGTTTTCGTCGCCGCCGTCGTCGTCGTCGTCGTCATCGTCGTCGTCGTCGTCCAGGTCGTCGTTGTCGTCGTCGTCGTCGTCGTCGTCGTCGTCGTCGTCGTCGTCGTCGTCGTCGTCGTCGTCGTCCTCGTCGTCATTGTCGTCGTCGTCGTCGTCGTCGTCGTCGTCGTCGTCGTCGCCGTCGTCGTCACGGTCGTCGTGGGCCGCCGCCGTGGGGTGTTCGGTGGCTTTCTCCAGGCTTCCAGGGGCTCTCAAGAGCTTCGGTCAGGCAGGCAGGCGCAGGAAGACGAAAAATCGCTACGGAGCGCTCTGATATGCTCACAAGAGCGTTCGGGACTGGCCGAGCGGGGCATCGACGTCTGAGGGCAGGCCCCCCGGCGCCCCTGACGCCCGCCTCCCCTCCCGCGGGGTCTGGTGGCTTACACCCCGCGGCCGTACCCCCGCCCCCACCCGCCTTTTTGCCTGCTTCCAGCTACTGCTTGCCTGCTTGCCTCCTTCCTCGATGGCGGGCGCCACGGATCTACGCCACCACCACCTTCATCCCCTCTCCCCTCCTCCAGCCTCTTCTTCCTCTCGTCGCTCCTTGGAGAGGGATGAGGCTAATGGGGTGTATGTTTTGGGCCCCGTATCCTCCCTCCTCCTTTCTTCGTTTTCCTTTCGTTGCCCTCCCTCATCCTGGGCCGGGAGGCCGCCTCTTCCCTTCCGTGCGCGCTGCAGGGGTAGCCGCGCCCGACCCCTTGGTTTCCTCCTCGCCCTCCTTCCTCCCGAGGTGCCGCAGGTGGGGTGGCAGTGCTACCCAAGGGGCTGCCGGCTGTCAGCTCCTCCTCCTCCTCCTCTTCCTCCTCCTCCTGTTCCTGCTCCTGCTCCTGCTGCTCCTCCTCCTCCTCCTCCTCCTGCTCCTGCTCCTCTTCCTCCTCCTCCGTCATGTCAGCCGGGGGATCTGCCTGCAGGTGGCCGAGGCGTGCCCAGAGGGCGAGGAGGCTGTGCAAGCTGCCCCCCTCGGCCCCACCACCACCACGGCTTGCAGGAGTTTTACCGTGCTGCAGGAATCAGGGGAGCCACAACTGGGGGAGCTGTGGTCCTTACTCCCCTGGGGGGCTCATCGATTTCGAAACCCCTCTCGAGAGATCGTCGATGCTATGGGTTCCCCCAGGGGGTAAGGACCACAGCTCCCCCAGTTGTGGCTGGTCGGGGAACCATGCACCGCCGTCGTCGCTTGTCGTGTGTCCTTTGGGTCGGGAGAGAAAGCGTTCGGGAACGCTCTGGAACGGATGCGGCGCCCGATGCATTCTTCAGACCTGCCAGCTGTCAGATGCTTCCGATTTTTCCACTTGCCTGCGCCGAGTCCCGCCACCGTGCCAGCGCAGTGCTCTGTGGCGACGCTTCGAGCACCGCCCAGAGGTCGGGCAACATGTGCCGGGAGCTGGGCGAGGGCTGCTAAAGCCGTGGCTGCTGCAGCGGCCCTTCCCCGGAAGGAGAAGACCGCTTCCCGGAAGGAGGCGCGGCCCGCGAAGCGGTCCACGGGCTTCTTCCCAGAGGGACGAAGACAACTTCCGGGAGGTCGATTTTCAAAATCGACCTCCGGGAAGTCGTCTGCCAAAATCCGTGGCAGGAATCCGTCTGCCAAAATCCGTGGCTGCCAAACTTTTTGGCAGCCGCGGATTTCGCAGCCCTACGCCCCGCTTCCGAGCGTGGCACGTTGTCGTGCTCGTCCGGGCGCCTGCTGCAGGAGCCGCCGCCGTGCCAGCGCAGCACCCCGGGGGCGGCGTAGCCGCGAGCACCGGAGAGGCCGTGGCGTGGGGCGGCCCTCGTGGCCTCTTCTCGCGGAGCTGCCGAGCCAAAGGGGGGATTTGGGAGAGGGGGGGTTGCGTGCATGCAGCTGCATGCAGCTGGTCTCGGCCCCACCGAGAAGTCTGCTGCATGCAGCTGGTCTCGGCCCCACCGAGGGCCCCACCGAGGGGCCCTCGTGGCCTCTTCTCGCGGAGCTGCCGAACCAAAGAGGGGGATTGGGGAAGATTGGGGAAAGGGGGGGGGTGCAAAGTCTGCTGCATGCAGCTGGTCTCGGCCCCACCGAGGGGCCCACTCCTCGATACATGGCCGCCTCCAGCGCCGGGAGGCGCCGGGAAAAGCAGCTGCGTGAGCTGATTCTCCCCCCCCCCCCCCCCCCCCCTTTTTTGCTATCCCCCCGTTTCGCCCAGCCCGAAGGTGGAGCTGCCATAGAGCTTTTTTCGGCCGTCTTGGGGCTGTCTTTGGCTCCTGTGGGACAGTCATTGGGTCGCTTGGGTCCCTCTTGAGGCCTTCTTCGCGGCGAATCGCCCACGAGGAGGGTACTACCCTGCGTTGCTCTCAGCTGACGGGTCCTTAGCCGTTTTTTGTTGTTGTTGGAGCGCTACAACGATGGTTGTATGTTGAAGAACAGCTCCTCTCCCTCCGTGTAGCAGCCGCATGCTTTTTGAGACGACTGTGCGCGGCGTCCAGGAGAGAGGATCGAGTGAAGACCACCTGGACTCCAGCGTGTGACTGTTTAAAGTCAGGACCAGAAGCGGTGAGGAAGCGTAAGGCAACACGCCCAGCCCGCCCTATCGACAGATCTGCTGGTACGATGAGGAGGAGCTGTTCATAAGGAAGAGGGCGGAGGATGGAGGGGGAAGGGAGGGGGAGGAGTAAGGGGGGGAGCAGGAGGAGTGCAACCCGAGGCCCCGCTACCCCGGTATCTTCGTTTGAAGCCGATGACTTAGCACCAGAGGAGTGCACGCTCACGGGGTGGCGAAAGCGGTGCATGCGCTGCCCGCCTCTGAGCAGTGACGAGGTGTTTGTGAAAGCAGCGCTGAGAGACAGCCGAGCTTAGAGAGTTCCTGAGTCCTGCGAACAAAGAACAGGAAGATGAGGACGGAGGAGAAGGACGAAGGGGTCCAGGAGGCCAACATGGAGGAGCAGTGCAAGGTGTTTTTTCTAGCGGCTCCTGGAGGTCGGAGAAGGCTCCCGAAGATTTCTGGCGGCCCCCAGAAGTCTCGGGAGGCCCCGGGGGGGAGGTGAGGTCCCCAGAGTCCCCCAGACCTCCCCTCCCCCAAATGCCCACATCCGTCCCAGACCCGTGATCCTCGATCCTCGCACCCTCTTCTAACCCCCCTTCTCTCGGTCCTCTTTCTCGTCAGAGAGCGCCCCTGGCCCTCGATGCCCTCCCCCTTCGACAGCCGAGGAGGGAGCAAATGCACAGGCACGAGCGCTATTCCGCCGACCCAGAAGAGGTGGGGAGCCCACGGTGGAGGCGCTGTGGGCTTCTCGGGCGCTACTTGGAGACTCCCGTGGGCGTCTTGGGAGCTGTCTGGGGGCCTGGCGGAGCGTCTTAGAGGCCGTCTTGAGGCGTGCTGGGGGCCGCCCTGGGGCCTCTCTTGGGTCTCGTGGGGGCCTCGTGGGGCTCCTTGGCGATTCGTGCCTGTTCATCTGCGCGTCCCTGGGCGCCTTCGCGTGACCCTCGAACAACAATGGACCAGAGGGGAGCGGGAGGGGAACCGAACGTCCAGGAAGCGCGGACACGGGGGGCATCCAGGGCCTTGTGCCCACTCGTCTGCGTGCCCCCGTGCGCCCTCGCTGGCCCTCGATGCCTCCCCCCCCCTCCCGACGACGGCGGGCGGCGGCCTCGCGCGCCGAGAGCGCCTCACGCGGCGGCAGGCGCTCTCGTCGGCGCCCTGGGCCGGGGGGCCCCTGGACGCGGGCGGCGCGACGAGGGGTGCGCTGCAGGCCCTGGAGAGGCTGGCCGCGGCGGCGACCGAGGACCGCTGGGGGGGTCGTCCTGCGTCGTGCGCGGGCCGTGGGGGGGGGGGAGGAGGCGGGCTCGAGGCGGGGACCTGTGCGTGGCCACCGCCCGGAGGATCGGTGTCCACACGCGGTGGACGCGGAGATGTTTGGGCCCCCAGGGGCCAACATTTATCCACATTTCACGCTCCCGCTGTCCCCAGGCGGTGGATATGGATAGGTCCCCGCCTCGCAGCGGGGGGGGGTAGGGCGAAGGTAGGAGAGGTAGGATGATGAGGCATGATGGAGACACCGTTGATGATGAATGATGAGTGATTGATGGGTGGACATGGTGATGATGCTGAGCACGAATAGGATTCTGACCATGATGGCGGTGGTGGTGGAGGGAATGATGACGGTGGAGGTGATGACGTGGAGGAGGAGGAAGAGGAGGACGAGGAGGAGGAGGAGGGGGGGGAGGGAGGGATGAAGAGGGATGATGATGATGCTGCTGCTGCTGATAATGATGATAGGATGATGAGATGATCTGATGATGCTGATGATTATGCTGATGCTGCTGCTGCTGATGATGCTGATGATGATGATGATGATGATGTTGGTGCTGCTGCAGATGATGCTGATGATGCTGATAACGATGATAACGATGATGCTGCTGCTGCTGATGCTGACGTTTATGCTGCTGATGATGCTGGTCTGATGATGATGATGATGATGATGCTGATTATGATGATGATGCTGATGATGATGATGATGATCGTTGTAGGTATGATGATGATGATGATGATGCTGATTGTGATGGTGATGGTGATGACGGTGATGATGCTGATGATGATGATGATGATGATGATGATGATGATGATGATGATGATGATGATGCTGATGCTGCTGCTGCTGCTGATGATGATGATGATGATAGTGATGGTGATGGGGATTCTGAAGCTGCTGCAGATGCTGACGATGATGCGCATGATGACGATGCTGATGATGCTGCTTCTGATGCTGATGATAATGATGACGATGATGCTGATGATGATGATGATGATGATGATGATGATGATGATGATGATGATGATGATGATGATGATGATGATGATGATGATGATGATGATGATGATGATGCTGATGATGATGATGATGATGATGATGATGATGATGATGATGATGATGATGATGATGATGATGATGATGATGATGATGATGGTCATCATCATCATCATCATCATCATCATCATCATCATCATCATCATGCTGAGTATGCTGATGAGGATGCTGATTTTTCGAACTCTCATTTCTAAACTATTTATGGGAGATTACCCCTGCTCTGTGCACCTAGTGTTTTCCAATTGTAGTGTTCCTCCCGGACTCGCAGCTTTTTCAACAAGGGAAGTTCTTGCGCTTCAAATTGTGCCCTTAGCCCACGGTTTGCAACAACAGCGGCTTCCGCCTGATATTTTTCCTGGCAGCAATTCAATCGCGCTTTCGTGCGGGACTGACTTCTTCATAACTTATGCAGGCATCGCACTATCGCGTGGTGCTTCTTCGCAATTTATCAAAACGCCAATCCCCCAACACACAAGAATCACGCTCCTGCTCTGGACATCCTCGCGATTTACTCGGGAATCGTGCGAAAGCTCGAGATATCCTTGCGATTCATGCAGGACTGACGCTTCAGCGACTCTCCGCTCGATCCGTCTGATTGTGCCGTTTGTTTTCCTGCTCCTGACCCCTTTTTGCTCATCTCTCTCGTGCTACATCCTTCTCTTTTTCCCCGATGCCCCTTCCCTCATCCCTTCCCTTATTTTAGGGGCTGCGCCAACTACACGTGGTTGGTAAGGAAGATATGCGTATTCTAAATGGGGGCATGATCGAAGACGAGGAGGGCAGGTATCGTGTGTTCGGGATATACGTGTTGACGGGCACGCGACCAAGTAAGAACGAACTGATTTTCAAATGACTAAATATTTTAGTATTCAGCAATGACTATTGTTGAGCCCGTGTATCCGCCCAGGCGCTCTCGCCTCGGCGCCGGCCGCAGTTCCTTTGAAATTGAGGCTCACGCTCACGCGTTTCTGGGTTCCGCCCAAACCAGCCCCCCCAACAACAGAAACAACAACGGTTCCGTGCGATACTTCCCCATATTGTACTCCGAGAGGCCCTGGCCAGAGTGGGCCCGAACCTCAGGAAGGGCGCTTTCTCCTGAGACTTGCTGGCGATTGATCACTACAAGGGGGTCCTTCAGAGCAGTCTTGCCGCTACTTGCGGATGCCAGAACAGCCGTTTCGCTTGAGCCTCCACTGCAATTTAGCACCCCGTGGTGCTCCTTGAGTGCAGTCTTGCCGCTACTCGCGGGCTACTCGCGGATGCCAGAACGGCATTTTCGCATGAGACTGCCCCGCAGTTTAGCACCACAGGGGGGACCTTCAGAACCAGTTTGTTGCTACTCGTGGATGCCGGAACGGCCTTTTCGCCTTTGCTGTGCTCTTCCAGTTCTGCCACCATCGCCTTTTCGGCGCAGTCCACTCTTACGAACACGTGTTATTCCGACGACAGCACTACCAGCCTTCGCCGCAAGGATTGTTTGAATGCTTGATTTTATTAGTAAGCAACGAATTGAGGCAATTTAGAATTACAAGGGGGTCCGTCAGAGTATCCTTGCTGCTGCTCGCAGATGCTGGAACGGCTGTTTCGCCTGAGCCTTTTTACAATTCGGCGGAAATTTGTCAGAGCAGTCGTGCCGCTACTTGCGGACGCTCCAGGGTTCCAGGACGCTCCAGGGATATGTGTTCGTGGAGCGTTTTCGGCCCTCCCGCTTCCAGGAGGCCCCAGGAGTCCCCAGGAGTCCCCAGGAGACACCGTCCTGTGTTGTGGTACGTCTTTGGGGAGCGCTTTTCGGCCCGTCCGTTCCCAGGAGGCTCCAGGACACATTTTTCTACATTGTGATATGTGTTGAGGGAGCGTTTTTCGGCCCCTCCGCCCCCAGGAGGCCCCCAGAGGCCTCAGGAGGCTCCAGGAGACATAGTTTTGTGTTTTGATACGTGTTCGTGGAGCGCTTCTCTGCCCCTCCGCTCCCAGTATGCCCCAGGAGGCCCCAGGAGAGATTTTCCTGTACCGGGACACGTGTTCGTGGAGCGGAGCGCCTTTCGGCAGCCGCGCCCCCAGGAGGCCCCAGGATGTACTTCCCTGCGTTGTGATATGCATTCGGGGAGCGTTCTTTCGGCGTCACCCCAACATACTTATAGTTACTATATGTGCGTCGCCCCCTCGGGGGCGACGCGCCCATCGAGAAATCTTACTGTATATGCGTCGTGGCGGGCGCTTTCTGGCCACACCGCTCGGGAAACGATCTACTACAAGATGGGTATGCCATATGTCTGGGCCGGACGCGCGCCTCCAAGGAGAACATATTTTACTAGGATGTCCTTGTGCGTCCCATTCTTCGGCCCCGCCGCGTGCCAGGGCGGCTGTCAGCAGAGGCCACGTCGTCGTCGTCGTCGTCGTCGTCGTCGTCGTCGTCGTCGTCGTCGTCGTCGTTGTCGTCGTCGTCGTCGTCGTCGTCGTCGTCGTCGTCGTCGTCGTCGTTGTCGGCGTGGGCGGCTCCGGGAGATCTGTTCCCGTGTTGGGGTGCGCGTTCCGGGCACCGCTCCTCGGCCCCGCCCGCCCCCCCGGGGAGGGCCCCGGAGGCTCCGGGGGTCGCTCTTCCGCATCGGGCTACTGTGCGTGTGTTCGGGGAGCCCTCCGCGCCCCCCCCCCCCGCCCCCAGGAGTAGGGGGCCACATGCGAAGCCTACCCCTACCCCCCACGACTTCTGCGGGGGAGGGCGGTGTGGACTTCGTTCGGGAGCTCCCGAGCGAAGTGAACCCCACCCTCCCCCTCAGAAATCGTTGGGGGTAGGGGTAGGGTTCGCATCTGGCTCCCTCAGGATGCCCCAGGGCGCCCCCAGGAGTCTCCAGGAGACGCTTTCCCTGTGCGGCAGTCTTTCCTCCGGGAGCGTCTTTTTTCCGGCCCCTCCCCTCCCTGGGGGCCCCAGGAGCCGAACAGCTCTGTAGCTCATCTGCAGCTCGAGTTACCTCAAGAAACTCACCATCATCTCTGAACAAATTGCAGAGTAGGGGTAGTTTTTCGGACCCAGCTCGGGCAGGAGACACTTTCCCTGTGCGGCAGTCTTTCCTCAGGGATCGCTTTTTTTTCCGGCCCCTCCGCTCCCTGGGTGCCCCGGGAGGCCTCAGGAGACATTTTCCCTGTACAGTAGTCTTTCCTCAGGGAGCGTTTTTTTTTTTTTCTCCGGCCCCTCCGCTCCCTGGAGGCCCCGGGAGGCTCCAGGAGACGCTTCTCTGAGTAGGCAGATGGTTGGGGGAGTGCTTGTCGGGCCCCCGTGGGCTTCGCCCTCGCAGGCTTCGCCGCCCCTCTCCTTGGGCTCGGATCCTTTTTGGGTGCTTACGCATGTTCCTATATTTTGCGCTTTAGTTGGGGCTCGATGCCTATGTGTGTGTGTGTGTGTGTTTCGCGCATGTTCCCATAGATTGGCTCTCGGCTTGGGCTCGATTCCTCTGTGTCTCACGTGTGTTCCTACACATTGCCCTTGTCCTGGGGCTCGGATCCTCAGTCTTGCTTAGTGCTTAATATCTGCTCCTATACATTGCCCTGTTCCTGTGGCTCGAATCCCTAGCGTTTCGACTCCTCACCGCTCCCCAAAGTCGGACTGACATTTTTTACGTGTCGAGCGAACCGAAAGAGGGAGAATGCCTCGGGAGAGGCGTCGGCTGGACCTCCTTGGGCTGGCGATCTACGCGAGGGAATGTCGCCCCCCCTTTCGTATACGGTCGGTCCGTGTCGTGTGGACCGGCGGCGACCCCGCCAGCGGCGTTCAACGTTGAACGCCGCGGGCGACCCAGAATCGTTCGATGTGGAACGATTTAGACGTTTCGGAAACGGCCGATCGTTCAAGGTTGAACGATCCCCGCGGTGTCAGAAACCAACGCCGAAGTCGGCACGACACGAACCTGATGTATTTCCCCTCAGAGGGGGGTGGCATCATGATGGATGCATGTTGCAAGCATAATGTAGAAGCATGGCGCGTGAGGGGTAATTACAGTGGTTGCAGTTTGGTTGAACATCACCTATCTCCGCCTGGGCGCTCTCGCTTCTGCGCCGGCTGCATTTCTTTTAAAGTTGAGGCTCACGCTCAAGCGTTTCGGGGCACCGCCCAAACCGGCCCCACAACAACAGCACCACCACCAACAACAACAGCAAGAACAACATCAACAACAGCAACAGCAACAACAACAACATCAACTACAACAGTCATTTTGAGACTGTTCGCTCCTATCTGCTTACGTGCCAATCAATACGTATATCCCAAAACCTCGGTACCCGCTGTCGTCGTTTTCGATCGTACCCCCTTGGGTGTACATCTTCCTTACCTGCCACGTGCATGTAGTGCAGCCCCTGAAACAAGGGAAGAGAAGACGGGTGGAAGGGGGAGGGATAATAATGGAACACGAGAGAAACTTGCAGGAGAGGGGGCAAGGAGCAGAAAACAATTGGTAGAACCAGACGGGCAGATCGGGTGGGCAGATCCATAGCGGTCGGGAAGGCGGGCCCAAGCGACCAGGTCGAGCAGGCGAGTTGCTGAAGAGTGGGTCCTGCGTGAATCGCGAGGAAGTCTCGAGCGATAGCGCGATTCCCAAGCAAATCGTGAGAGAAGCCAAAGCGAAAGCGTGATTGCTGAGCGCCGAGGGCGCATCGTCTGAATAAACTGCGAGGAAGTCCCGCGCGAGAGCGCGATTCGTGTACAAATTGTGAGGAAATCCCGAGAGAAAGCGCGATTTGGGAATAAATGGTGAGGAGGTACCAGGCGGGAGCCGATGTTGTTGTAGTTGTAAGCCAGGGGCCAACAACCCAGTTTGAGCCCCGTGATTTTTTTCGATAATAAAGGTGCGAACCCCGGGGGAAGCAGTTCAATAAAAAGAATACAATGGTCACCGGAGGGGGGATCAACAATAATTATTTGTCAGTGATGAGAGTTCAACGCTCACGTGCGATACTTCCATACAGTGCACTCGGAGAAGCCCTGACAAGAGAGGGGCCGAGCCTTAGGAAGGGCGCTCTCGCCTGAGACCTCCTCGCAATTAAGCACCACATGGGGGATCCTTCAGAGCAACCTTGCAGCTACTTGCGGATGCCAGAGCGGCCGTTTCGCCTGAGACGTCTTCGCCATTTGGCACTACAGGAGGGGGTCCTTCATGCCAGACCAGTTTTTTCGCTTGAGTTTTTTTCGTAATTCAGCACCACAGGGGGTCCTTCATATCATTCTTGCTGCTGGATGCTGGAGCGGCTTTTTCGCTTGAGACTTCTTCGCAGTTGGGCACCACAGGGGGGCCTTTCCGATCATTCTTGCTGCTACTCGCGGATACCAGAACGGCCGTTCCGCCTTCCTTCAGGAGGGAAAAAACCACACAGACACAATTAATCGTCCACTCCCAAGAAATATGGGAAAATATGGGAAGTGGGGGGGAATACAGAAACCCAGAAAATCTAGGAAAATATGGGGAATCCTTTTATGTGTGTGTATTTAGTTGTGTGTCTCAGGGCCCCTTCATTCCTCGCAACTCAGCAGCACAGGAGAATTCGTCAGAGCAGTCTTGCGGCCAACTGCGGAGGCCCCAGGGCGTTTCAGGGATCTGTGCTCGCGGAGCGTCTTCGGCTCTCCCGCCGCCACGAGGCCCCAAGGAGACACTTTTCGGCCGCTCCGCTCCTGGGAGGCCAAGGAGGTGCTTCTCTGTATTCGGATGTTCGAAGAGCGTTTTTCGCCCCCCCCGCTCCCAGGAGGCCCCAGGAGACCTCAGGAGGCACGATTTTGTCTTGTGATACGTGCTCGTGGAGTGTTTTTCGCCCCCCCGTGGGCTTCGCCCCCATAGACTTCGCCTTCACTCTCCTGGGGCTCGAACCCTTTGTGCTTTACGTATGTTCTTATCGATTGTCCCTCCCCTGGGGCTCTGATCCGTTGAATTTGATGGTGGTGCTTTTCAAACTGATTTTCATTGTGGGGGCGACTTGGAAGTTTTACGAGACGAATGATTCTACAATTTAGCTTCTGCAGGAATCGACGCGCATGTTAGTTTAGTTTTATTAGTAATATCTAGATCTGCCACAAACGCTACATGTCTGCTAAATTACAGAGCATTTTGTTGCATTCGCATGAGCGGCGGGTCCAATGGGGGGGACCTGTATGCCGTGCTCATGGCTTTAGCCCACGCTGGCCCAGGGCCGATGGAAGTCTGGACTGGACTTGGTTGGCGTTCTCTGAGATCTGGACCCAGGTCATGGCCAAAGCTTGCGATACAGGATGGGATACTATAGGGTTGCGCAAGACAAAGTCTGACTGCTCCTGGAACCAGGCCCTCGTCCAAGGATATCCGCATTGCGCTTGGTTTGGGAATCGCCGAGCCGACCAGCTGGCGCGAGATGGCACTGGAACGCAGGACCACCCGAAAGCCCTCTGGAGCTGGCACAGTACGGCTAGCAAAGGGGTGGCCCTTGTCGGCAAGTTTGTCGGTCTCGTGCTGGGGGAGGTGTTGCGGGGTGGGGGGGGCTGAAGATATGGAGCGTTGCAAGGCCAAGTCCACCCGAGCCCCGCCCGATATCCCCCAGCTGGAAGTCATTGCAGGCTCCACCGGGCATACTATCTGTAGGAATGGCAAAGCGTTTGTTTCTGTTATCTGTGGATGATGATGATGCTGATGCTGATGCTGATGATGATGATGATGATGATGATGATGATGATGATGGTGATGGTGATGGTGATGGTGGTGGTGATGGTGGTGGTGGTGGGGATGATGATGAGGATGGTGGTGGTGATGATAGTGATGATGATGGTGATGGCGATGGTGATGGTGATTGTGATTGTGATTGTGGTGGTGGTGATGATGATGAGGACTGTGATGACGCCGTTGCTGATGATGATGCTGATGCTGATGATGGTTATGATGATGCTGATGATGCTGATAATACTGATGATGATGCTGATGATGCTGATGATGCTGATGCTGATGCTGACGATGCTTATCATGATGCTCATGATACTGATGATGCTGATGATGCTGATGATGCTGTTGTTGATGATGCTACTGCTGCTGCTGCTGATGATGATTGTGATGCTGATGATGATGCTGTTGTCGCTGATGATGCTGGTGATGATGCTGGTGATGAATATAATGATGATGCTGATGATGGTGCTGCTGATGATGATGATGATGATGATGATGATGATGATGATGATGATGTTGAAGGTGATGCTGATTACGATGATGATGATGATGATGATGATGATGATGATGATGATGGTGGTGGTGGTGGTGGTGGTGGTGGTGATGATGCTGATGATGATGATGATGATGATGACGATGCTGGTGGTGATGCTGATGATGATGATGATGATCATGCTGCTGATGATGATGCTGATGATGCTGATGACGAGGATGATGAGGAGGAGGATGAGGAGGAGGAGGAGGACGAAGAGGAGGAAGACGAGGACGAGAACGCCGATGCGCGGGATGATGAGGAGGAGGAGGACGAGAACGCGGACGAGGACGAGTATGATGATGCTGATGATGATGATGATGATGATGGGATCACGATGATGTTGATGATGATTATGATGATGATGCTGATGATGATCATGCTGATGATGCTGATGCTGATGCTGATGATGCTGATGATGAGGATGATGTTGCTGATGATGCTGATGCTGATGCTGCTGTTGGTGACAATGCGGATGATGAGGATGCTGCTGCTGCTGATGCTGATGACAGTGATGATGCTGATGATGCTGTTGATGATGATGCTACTGCCGATGCTGCTGATGATGATGCTGATGATGCTGATGCTGATGCTGATGCTGCTGATGATGATGATGATGATGATGATGATGATGATGATGATGATGATGATGATGATGATGATGAGGATGATGATGACGATGCTGATTATGCTGATGATACTGATGATGCTGCTGATGATGAGTGAGATGATTCTGATGAGTGTGGTGATGATGATGATACTGATGATGCTGATGATGCTGATGATGGCGACTGTGATTGTGAGGGTGATGATGATTATGTTGATTATGCTGATGCTGATGATGCTGCTGATGCTGATGATGATGATACTGATGATGCTGCTGATGATGACGATGATGCCGATGATGATGCTGATGATGATGATGATGATGATGATGATGATGATGATGATGATGATGCTGATGATGACGATGATGATGGTGATGGTGGTGGTGGTGAGGAGGAGGAGGAGGAGGATATGTTAGAGACATTTCAGTTCATAGGCTAAGGCATGGAGAAGGTGGAGGCACTTACCAGGACACCCACACCCCGCCCTGCGGGAGCAGAGACCCAGTGGCTGGCCCCCCCGATCCCTCGTCGAAGCCTGCGGACACCGCCGTCTCAGCGGCGGCACGTCTCACACCCGCGTGCCCGAGTGCGACGCTGCCTTTTTTGGGAGGACCTCGGCGCGGGCGTCCTCTCAGGTACGGCGGCCGTCGCGAGCCTCATCTTGCGGCGCCGACGATCGACATGACGATCTCGTGCAGCGGCTGCACGTTCTCAAGCAGCTGGTCCTTCGTCTTCTTGACGGCCCCGTCTAGCTTCTCGTCGAGCTGGTCCTCCATGTTCGCGTGCTGCTGCCCCTGCTTCTCCACCAGCTTGTGGGTGACCATGTGGAGCGGCTGCAGGCTCTCACGCAGCTGCACCTTCGTCGTCTCGAGGGCCTCCCCAAGCTTCTCGTTGAGCTGGTCCTCCATCTGCGTGTGCTTTCTGCAGCTTGCCCTCTTGCCTTTCAAAGACCTCTTGCGGCGGCTGCAGGATCCCGAGCAGCTGCAGCTTCTCTTCTATAGGAGTTCTCCGCAAGCGTCTCGTTGAGCTGACCCTCCATCTCCTTGTTCTGCTTCTGCAGCTTTCCCTCCAGCTGGTTGAAGGTCTTGTGCAGCGGCAGTATGCTCTCGTTCAGCTGCTCACTTATCTTCGTGTTGAGGGCCTCGGCAAGCTTCTTCTCGAGCTGGCCCTCCATGATGAGATGCTGCTGCAGCTTCTCCTCGAAAGCATGATCAAACGCCACGTGCGGCGGCGACTCACACTCCTGCAAGTAGATGTTCTCGCCCCCTGACTTCGACTCAGTTTGGCCAGTGCAGCTGGCCTCTGAGGATGGGAGGGACCTGCTTGATGATGAGCTCCCCCGTGATCGGCCCCCTCTGGGGGTTGCCGACGGCGCCCGTCAGGGTCTCCTTGTTGATTGTGCCGTGGTGCAAGGCTTGTTCAAAACCAACCGCGGGTGGCGCCTCGCACTCGGTCAAGTAGATGTTCTCGACTCCTTCAAGCCGATGCAATTGGCCTCGAGGTTGGGTTTGCCCACAGTGGCAGGCGCCAAGCTGTCGAAGCCGTTGCCGAAGTAGGCCTCCTTCCTCTGGGCGGCTGTGTGCCCGAGCAGGCCTTCGGTCAGCCTGTCCACAGCCGTGTAGCCGAAAGCGCCACCTCCATGCCGTCCTGCTTCACCACCGCGAGCAGCTTCTCACCTGTGGTTATGATGTTCCGACCTACTTCAGCCTTGATCACCAGAAAGAATTTCGAGCCCCAAAGAAGTACCGAAATTCGAGGGGTTTCACGTGCCGGGCCCTGGGAGACACTCGTCTGACACTGTTTCGGCACTCTTTGGACACTTCTTCGGGTGCTCGAAATTATTTCTGGGATGTTGTCCTTAAGTACGATGGGAGCAACATAAACCTGTGGACGGCTTTGTCATTTTGAGCCCCACTACTCAGCAGCAGCGCCGGCTGTCGCTGCTTGAGCAGCAGGCCCAGGCGCCGCCATCGCATGCAGCGCCGCCTTCAGCGAGAGGCAGGGGCGGAGAACCTGGGCTTGGAGGAGGAGGAGGAGGAGGAGGAGGATGAGGAGGAGGAGGATGAGGAGGAGGAGGACGAGGAGGGAGGGTATCACGCTTCCCCTCACGCAGGCTGGCAGGTCGTGCGTGGCGTCCCAGTTGGACGCCGCGCTCGCGGCCGGGCGTTGCGCCGTGGCTTTGCGGGAGGCGCGCTGGAGGGAGAGAGAGAATGAAGGGAGGTTTGAGGATCGAGGATCGAGGTTCGAGGATTGTGATTCGAGGCTCGAGGGTGTGCAGACTTTTGGGACCTTTTCGGCAGCTGGCAGCACCCTCGTCCCTGCGCCACGGCCCTGGGCGCTCCCAGAAAGGACCAGCGCCCGCGAACGGGACCGCCTCGGCAGCCGTAACAATTTATCTGACCCCTCTCCGTCCTCCCCGCTCCTTCCTTCCCATCCCTCCCGGCCCTTCCCTTCCTCCCTCGGGCCCGGGGGCATCCGAGTCGGCACCCGAGTGGGCCCCCAGCCCCGTCACACAGGGGGGACCCCCGGGCTTTGGGGTTCATGTCCTGGGGCCCACGCCAGCTGCTGCCCTTCCCTCCCTCCCTCCCTCCCTCCCTCTCCCCGCATCCGGCTTCCGACTCCCCACTTCCACCTCCACCCATCGACCTGCAGCGTCCACCAGCTCAGAACTCGGCACTCCGACTTCCAGCGTCCACCAGCTCGGCAGCACATGGACAACATGCACCGAGGGCTCCAGCCCCCCCGGGCAGGCCCTGAAGGGCCCCACCTCCGGCGGTACCGCGCGCTCGTCTCGTATCGTCTCGTCTCGTTGTCTCGTCTCGTCTCGTCTCGTCCCGTCCCGTCCCGTCCCGTCGTCTCTTCTCTCTCGTCTCGTCTCGTCTCGTCTCGTCTCGTCTCGTCTCGTCTCGTCTCGTCTCGTCTCGTCTCGTCTCGTCTCGTCTCGTCTCGTCTCGTCTCGTCTCGTCTCCCTCCCTCCCTCCCTCCCTCCCTCTTCGACGCCGTGATCTTTGCGCAACTGACCCCCAGAGATCTCGACCCCTTCCCAAGGACGGACTTTTCGCCCAGGCTCGTGAATCGACGGCCCCACGGCCCCCCGCAGGGGCCCCTGGATGCCACAAAGTTCGAACAAGATATCAGTCGAGATGTTCTCAGCACGCAAAGGAGTCTGGGCCTCTCCCACCTCGACAGTCGACCGTGGACCGCTAAGTTGGGAAGCTGGCCGTGGGGGGCGGGATGGCCCGAGGGGGGAGGAGGGAGGGCGGGAGGGAGGGAGGGAGGGATGGGAAGCAGAGGATGCAGAGGGAGTGCGGGATGGGTGGGAGTTGGGGGGTGATCGAGGTTTTTTGATGTTTTGCTTCCTTGCTGGGCCTCCACTGGCCTGTGGAGGCTTCCGGAGGTCTCCAGTGACTTCGGGGACATCCACCATGCCCAGGCTTCGGCGTCGCGGACAGAATGCGACGGCTAGTTTTGGGTCTCTGGAGGTTCGTTTTGGGCCCCAGGGTACTGGTCAAAATCGCCGGACATGAAAAGCTGGTCCAGGGGAGGGTGTCGAGGGTTCCAGGGGCCCACATCGTGAAACAGTCGCGGCATCGGAGATTTGGGATGGACATCGATATGGTTTTTCTGTCCCCCTGCCTCTCTTCTTCCCCCTCAACTCCTCCTCTCTTTGCTCCTCCCCTCCTCACTCCTTCTCCTCCTCCTTCTGGAGGGGTGGGTTGACGGGATGGTCAGGGATGGAGGTGATCGAGGAGCAGAACACCGACATATTCATGACTTGCGGAGGTCTGCCTGGATTCCTTGGCTCGGCGCTGGGCTGTTAGGGAGGCGGTGCCTCTGGCGTGCAGAGCGCGTCAGGACAGGAGGTTCCAGCACCGACTCAAGAAATCCGCGCGGACCTCATAACATATCTGATTTTTGTAGTCTTTTCTTTCAGAAGAGAACAGGGAGAGGGGGAGGGGAAGGACAGGGAAAGGGAGCGGGATAGCGAGAGATGGGGAGCAAAGGAGGGGGGGGAGAGGGAGGGGCGGGAAGGATGGGAGCGGCGAGAGGGGAGAGAACGGCTGAGGAGGGGAGCAGGGGATAGGGCATACCAGATGGACATTGGTGGAGCCAGATGGACACTGGGGGCACCAGATGGACACCACAATGGAGGGGCACTCGTGGAGTGTGTGAGCCCGTTTGCCTGCGTACTGTCCTCTGCACGTTTCGCATGCTCCTCGTCGTCCTTATCCTGTGTAGCTATGGCTTCGCGCTTTCCCCCATGAGCACTGCTTCCCTCTTGATTTTCTTGCCGACGCGGCCTACTGTATTATGGCCTTGCGTGCGTGCGTGCGTGCGTGCAAGTGTAATTTCTCGTCGTTGCACCACTAGGCATGACGGTAGGGCGATACTGGCGTTTCGCTTGAGCCTCCCTCTGACTGCATGGTCTCTAAGGCTGGGCATTTCCAACAGTCCGCCTTTGTGTTCGCAGTGATTGGTGGGTGTCGGGCTCTTTCTACTTGTTGCTAGTTTTTCCTGTGAAGTTAGCAAGAAGACGACCGAAAGAGCGCGTTCTGTGGTCGCTTGGAGGGGGGGTAGGGTTGGAACTGGACCCCCCCCCAAGGATTGGGGGGGGGGTTCGAACCCCCCCCCGCCCTTCCCCCCCATTCCCCTACTTCTCCTCTCTCCCTCTCCTCGGCTGGCGGCGGCGTCGGCGGGGACGACGATTTCCTTTTCTGGGCCGGCGCCGGCGCCTGCGGCGGCGGTCGGCGGCTGCGGGGAGCGTCGACGAGGACGGAAGTGGTGGTGGTGGTGGTGGTGGGTTGTGGTGGTGGTGGTGGCGGTGGTGGTGGTGGTGGCGGTGCTGGTGGTTGTGGTGGTGGTGGTGGTGGTGGTGGTGGTGTGGTGGTTTGTTGTTGTGGTGGTGGTGGTGGTGGTGGTTGTGGTGATGGGTGGTGGTGGTGGTAGTGGTGTGATGGTGTTGTGGCGGTGGTGGTTTGTGGAAGTGGTGGTGGGTTGTGGTGGTGGTGGTGGTGTTTTGGTGGTGGTGTGGTGGTGGTTTGTGGAGGTGGTGGTGGGTTGTGGTGGTGGCGGTGGTTTGTGGACGTGGTGCTGGTGGTGGTGGTGGTGGCGGTGGTGGTGGTGGCGGTGGTGGTGGTGGTGTGGTGGTTTGTGGTGGTGGTGGTGGTGGTGGTGGTGGGTTGTGCTGCTGGTAGTGGTGGTGGTTGTGGCGTTGGTGGTGGTGGCGTGGTAGATTGTGGCGGTGGTGGTGGTGGTAGTGTTTTTTTTTTTTTTTTTTGTGGTGGTGGTGGTGGTGGTGGTGAGTTGTGGTGGTGGTGGTGGTGGTGGTGGTGTGTGGTTGTGTGGTGGGTTGGTGGTGGTGGTGGTGGGTTGAGGTGGTGGTGGTGGTGGTAGTGAGGGTGGTGGTGGTGGTAGTGGTGGTTATCGTCGCTGCGTCCCTGCCGTCGCCGGCGCCAGCGTCGGCGCCGGCGCCAAGGGGTGGCGGGGGGTGGGGGTTTGATCCCCCCCCTCCCCCTGCTTGGGCTGCCTCTGGTCATCGTCGCTGCGTCCCCGTCGTCGGCGCTGCTGGCGGCCGCTGGCGCCGGCGCCAGGGGGGGGAGGGGGGGGGGTTCAACCCCCCGCCCCCCCTTGGGAGGGGGGGGAGGGGGTTCGGGAGGGGCGGGTTTGGGGGGGAGGGGAGCCCCTCTGGTTTTGATCGACGGCGCCGAGTGTTGGGGGGCCCCCCCCCGGTTCGAAACGCGCCTCCGAATGTTCCCAACGCGAGCGCCCGTGAAACTCGTTCTCTTAGACGACCCGACGCATCGATCCCAAGATGGGTTCATTCTCCAAGCAATGTTTGTCTTCAGTTCTGTATAGTTTTGTTAGGCTGGAATTGGACATGTGTGCTGCGATTTCTCGACGCCGCCTTGGTATTTGGCTGGTGTATATCTTGCTCTTTTGCTGTGCTTTCGCGGTCCCGGCTTGATGCCCTGGGGTGGTGCCCTACGAGTGTTTGCGCTGCAAACGCCTGTGCAGAGTGCGGTCGCCAAGCTGGATCTCCGTCCTCGCACATTTCGCATTCGGGGAACAGCCAGGTAATTTTGGCCCTTGGCCAGCACTAAGAGTTTTTCTATTTGTTATTCTCTTTCTTGTGAGGTAAACAAGAATGACCAGATGCATCGAACCTGATATGGTTCATTATCCGAGCAATGTTTGTACTTAATTCTGTTAGGGTGGAATTTGACATATGAGCTGCGATTTCTC